AGCTCCACGGAGCGGCCCGCTGACAATGCGTTGCAGAGTGTGTCTCTTCTATCAAGGAGTGTGGGTTTATTGCGCAAGTCTCCACACATTCCTGCAACATGCCCATACCATGCACGCACCACGCCTACATGATTAGAGGTGTCCCATTTAAAGGTGCATCTACCTATCTCCCCTCCTTTTCACTCGCCCTCTCTTACACCCATATATCCCTCTTCTAGACTTCTATTTCACAATTTTTCGCGTTTTAGATGCCGGGTGCTCGGACAGAGACTATTATAACGCCTCTCCAGGCCAACGCCAACTTTCGATCACTTGTCCAGCACGCCGTAGCCAGGCAGAATAAGCGTGCGTGCCTCCAACTAGTGTGGAAAGTTGCACGTCACTGAGCAATTTTCATCTCATGTTTCTTCAGAACGTCATAAAGGTGCATTTTTGTTGTACGCTGTTGAACATTTGTGTACAGACTAATGGAACCTCCCCTCGCTCTCACACTCAATGATCCTCCATCACACCCCCTTTGACAGGCTCGCCCTCGTCAGGCTCTCCCCATGACTATCACAATATTGCGTCCCAGAGAATCAGCGACGAGATTGACGACTCTGTCTGGCATAGCGACCTGGAGAGTGAAATTGATGAAACCTATGCGGCCGATGAGGGTGATTTTGATGGCATTGTGGACAACGGTGAAGATGAGGATGATCGTACAAGCCAAGACATCGGATTGAGTGGCGATGAGGGCGAAGGTGGATATGACGAGGAGGGTATGGTTTGCGATAATCCAGAGCTCGGTTTGGATGAGGGAAAGGATATGCTTTCTGCTCTTCAGTTCGAGGAGAGCAATATTGGTCTTGAACCGGATGATGACGACGAGCTTATTGTCACGGAAGTAGTTGAGGAGATTGTGAAGCCTAAGAAAGGTCGTAGGCGAGGGAAAAGGGAGTATGCGGAGATGTCTGGGCAAGAACGAGAGAATCTCAAGGCTAAGAAAGCGAGGAGGGCACGTGAGAGGGCGGCTGTCGGAGGTGTCGGTGTTCACCATCGAAAGAATGCTCGAGCCAAAGAGCGGAAGAAGGAATTGAGGAAGGTCGTAGGCCTTCATCAACTCACTGCTCCCCCTAGAATTCTTCTCAGGCTCAAGAATACCACCGTCATATCCTCATCTTTGAATGCTACTGATCTCGAGGCGGCGAAGGGGGCTTATCAGGGGATACACCGTCCTGTTCAACCCGACGACCGCTGTTGGACGGTTGAAGGCCTTTTGAAGGACGGCCTCGAATACATTGAATGGGACGGGAGGTAGGTCATCGCTCTGTCATCACGTCTGTCACTTCTTTGGTTCACTTATGCTATCGATTGTAGAGCACCTCATCTCGTCATCGACGAGGAATGGCGAGTGGTGGCGATTCTCGCCGGCCGGCCTAACGACCCGGACTGGGACTCCGTCGCACAAGCTATGGCAGACCTTTTTGAGGACGTCAGGAAGCTTGGGGACGCACTTCATTGCCCGAATGGCGACAAGAAAAGCCCATTCTGGGCGGATGGCCAAGTCAATGGTCGGCGCGGCGATTACACCTCCGTAACCGTAGGTTACTCCTACGGTCAAGGACAAGATGTGCGTCTAAGTGTTCGTGTCCCCCTTCCGCTGACTGAAATATATCATCAGAGGCCTCGGCCGCTCAACGTTGCGGACACCCAAAAGTCTATCGTCGATAGATTGCTCAACAATGGTGCAATATACCGGATCGCAGGTTTTGCGAACTGTTGGTTTTCTTCGTTTGGCATCCCATGTGACAAACAAAGGTTCTCATCGACTATTGCTCTACTAGCTGCCTTTGCGACCTTTGCACCCAAGATATACCAACATTGCGCTACAAATCTCCAAAAAATCCTCGATAAATATCCTGACTGTCAACAGCCTCTCGATAATACTATTTTCCCTGCTCTTACCTTCAACCTCGGCCCGCAGTCGGTTACTTGGGGTCATGTTGACTCGCAGAACGCTGCTCAAGGCTTCTGTCCTGTTAATTCTGCTGGCAAGTACGACCCAAAGCGGGGTGGACACATGGTCCTTCTCGACTTCAACTTGATCATCGAATTCCCACCTGGTTCCACCATTCTGCTTCCATCCTCCATCGTCAGACATGGCAACACCCCTATTGCCGACCACGAAACAAGGTACTCGTTCACGATGTTCGTTCCTGGCCCTCTTCTTCGCTGGGTTCACCACGGATTTAAGCCTGCGGGACGATTGTCGAAGAAACAGCAGGCGAAGCTCTACGGCGAAGGTAATCAGCAGTGGGAGGAGGCACTGAATATGTTTTCGAAGGTCAATGAGCTCGAGGAAGATGTGTGGAAGTGTTTCAGAGCTGATGGGTTTGGACATACGATATGAACTCTGCTCTACTTCGCTTAGGATGCTCTTGCAAGTCTCGACAACCAAGTCAATTTTCATTAAATGTGTTTTTAAATCCGTTCTTACCTACCCAGCATTGTCTCCTTGCTCCGTCTCAAGTTCGCTCTCGATTTCCTCCGACATGTTTATACTCCTGTGCGCCCATATCTCCTTGGGCTTTTAGTCTGGACTAATCGATATTTACTCCTAGCGTCGTTCTTATAGTCCGATTCTTCCATTTATTCGAATAGTCAATGCCTTTTCACTGGCATTCTCCTTTCGGGTAGAGTTATCATTGACTTTGCGTTGCTTGATGTTCTTAATACATATTCATGACCGAGTTTCTGTTCGCTATTTCCCCTAGCCTTACCGGCACCTGAATGATACAACTAACTAAATCAAAGCACTTTCGAACTTGGGGGACTTCTCCTTCTCCTTCTAAGTATAATCTCGAGAAGGAAGCATTGCCGACAAAGACTGATTATTGATTTTGGCGAGCTGATCGAGGCAAGCGACGACCGAGATAACGCGAAATGGTATTCTTCATGTGGGTGCTTGGAAGTGCCCAGAGTGGTGGCGTCCTTGTTGGCTGTAACGGCGGCGTCATGAGCGACGAGAAGCAGGAAGGCCGAAATCATGAAATGAGTTTGCTTCTGCCGTCTATGCGGAGATAGGAACTACTTCCACTGTGCTTTAGAGGCGCTTCAGCGGAATTCGAAACTGAGTGAGGCTTCCTTTAGGTCCTTAGAAATCACTGCCAATAAAGGCCTCGCGCGCGTAGACCGAGCAATGAGCCCCGCCAACGTGTCATGGGCTCCACAGACACTTTAACAAGGGAGACGAGGGAGTGCGTGCACAAGAGTGTAAACATGTGCGAGGAACGTGTATGCGCGTTGTCGTCGAGAGGGAACAAACAACAATAGTATGCGCGCTAAGAACGAAGGGTAGACGATTAAGAGGTGGTAGTTTTGCCCTTTTCATAGGGGAGAAGATGGAGTCCGGACCAAAAAAACGAAAACCGAAGACTCAGAATATGGAAGGATGCGAGCGCTAAAAGGCGCCACACCACAACAGTCAGCACACACGTCTCGCCACACAAGTCGGAGCAGAAAAATAATCCTCACCACAACGGCCCCGAACAACACCGCATTCCTGACAATCCTATAGCTCACTCTAAACTCCGCACGCCTCCTCTTCGATTCAGGAAGTAACGGATGCCTCTCATCTCCCTTCCACAGCATCAACACTCCACGGGCCATCCCACGGCCCCAACGACGTATTCTCATCCACACCGAGAGCGATGTCCTTCAAAGCGACGTCTTTCCTAGGCGTGAACGCCGTAGACCGCTCGAGATTTAAGCCCTCCATCGCGGGATATTCCTTCGCCAGGACTGTTGCCTCCGAATCCCTCAACATCGGAAGCCAAAGAGATTGAACTTTGAACCGTGCACGGTGAAGATATGCTCGAGCGCAGCCGGATCGCTAAACGAGACTTGTAACATCCAGAGACTCCCAGCTTTCTCCGTATCATGAAACAGTCAGTCAAGGAACTCGTAACTTGGAACCGACGGGAAATTGAGGCTGAGACTCGAAAGTTTCAGCGCACACGGCTCTTCGGCGACAAGCTGAGGCAGATAGCCATGAAGCGAGAGTTCACGGAGGCTGGGCCAGGTAGATATGAGCTGATGGAGAGCGGAGAAGTTGGTGGGTGCATGATGCGGAGCAGAGGATGGATACCATCTCCTCGTCGAATGTCGGCGTCGAGTTCTTCTGCCGGGCGAAACTGAGAGGGGAGCCATGTGTATTTCGGGAGGCGGGGTGGGGAGTGGGTGAGCCGTAGAACGTGAGGACGATCCAGTTGAGGTTGGGGCACATTGTGGTGGCGAGGGCGAAGGAACGAAGAGGGAGATGGAAGGGTTGGGAGGGGTCGATGGTTGCTCTGAGAGTCCGGACACACTACGCGAGGGCACGACCACGTTCGATACCGGGATCGACAGCAGCACAGAATGTGTTTGATGAGCTTCGTGAACAGAGGTCGTTGTGGTGGAAGAGCAGGGTCTGGGCTGGAGTAGACCATGTCTTACGGACAAGGGAGCAAGTGAGGAGGAGAGACATGTCGGGTCCATGGGCCCGGGTGATGGATGCGAGTTCGTTCATACTACGAATAGGTCCGGCTGGGAGGGTAGCGGGACGGGCATAAGGCTTAGGCTTACAGGGGCTGGAAGAACGGGGCGTACGCGAGCGTAAGGTTCAATCATGATGTCTTTCGACGGGGTCTGTGTTCCATGTTAGTCACGAGGAATGAAAGAACTAAGTCAACGAACGTACGAGAGGCGTGAAGGGC